TATTATTATCATCATCATCATCATCATCATCATCATCATCATCATCATCATCATCATCATCATCATCATCGTTTGTTTGTTTGTTTGTTTGTTTGTTTATTATTTCGCACAAGTGTAATTCTCCTCTAGGTGAATTAAGGGATTGTGTATTTGTATCAGCATTTTTACCTGCCTTTGCAGTGCATATTCGGGCTTACTGATTTGGTTGTGAGCCATTATTCAGCATATAAAGTTGTGGTTTTGCATTCACAAGAGTCTTCAATATGTTTCAGTAGATTTGTTACAGCATTAGATTATTTTTGTTGATTCCAACAGGGAAATAATGAGTAAAGGTGTTCTTTAGTTACATCCTGTGGGAAGATGGTGTATTTTAAAAAAAGACCTTTGTCCTGTCTTTCAGAGTTCCAAATGTTGTCTCTGCCTTCCCAAAATACTGATGACTTACGATCCCAGCCTTTCTGATAATGGCCCCATTAGTGCCTCTTATTTGAAACTAATTTTTTGTTCTAAAAGCAGCTGAGCACTGTAGAACTCTCTTCTGTTTGTTCAGCCCCATGAGACTGCTAGTCACAGATTCTTCCAACATGTTGAAAAATAATGTACCACATGCAGTAACATAGTTTTCTTTGTCCTGTATTTGTTATGTGTAAAATCACAAAGAGAGAATTGCTTTTAAAAATGTCTGCCTCCCATAGTGCTGCCTGAGCTGAGATCCCACAGAAAGTCTCATACTGAAATGGATCTACCAACACATGGGTATCCTTCCAGTCTTCCACTTCCCATCCAGAGTCTAACCCTCACACTGGAGCCAAATGCGCTGTAAAGTTACCAGTGAAAGATGCAAACAAGTGGGGAAGGGGTGAGATAGATAAATCTATTCCCAACCTAAGTGCTGTTTCTAGCAAGATGGATAAAAGTTAATGATTTTTCCCCCAAATCAAATTAATTTAAATCACACTTTAAATTTTAAAAATTGATTTTTTAAAATAAATTTAAATTGTCAAAAAATCAGATTTTTTAAAAATGTAAATCATGTTTTTTAAAAAATTAAATCACATAGATTTAAATCAAAAACACCCTGGTTACTAGAATACAATACTTATATCTGTTCTGTCAGTGTCAAGCAGAGCCATCAGGTCAAGAAGACATCTCAAACCATCTCACAGCCCCTTTGGCCACTTTATGTGACAAGCAGATTGGTGGGAATGCTTTCTGTCTTGTACCTCAGGTAGGGGTGAGGGACCTGTGGTTATCTAGGTGGTGTCAGATTGCAGTTTCCCATCGTCTCTAGCCCAAATGACCAGTGGTGAGGGATTCTCAGCACTGGAGTCCAACAACAGTGGAAGGGCCATACGTTCTTCCATCCCTCAGACAGGTCCATGTGTAATGTGTGGTCTACCCTTGGTTCTTTTGTTTGCAGGATCTCTGGCCTCCCCCCCTTTTTTTTTGTTAAAGATGAGGAATGTCTCTTATCATGTGCACATGATGCAGAGCCGGGTAGGAGGGACACTTGACTATACGAACTAGCCCCTTGGAATTTAGTCTTTGTATAGCGTTACATTAACATGAACATGTCCAAGTAAAGTCTTGTTCAGGTTTATTTTAAAAAAACATTACAAGGTAATGTTTGAAATCCAGTGATAACTTGCATTTTCTGTCCCCTTCCTTTTTTTTCCTCAAGAATTTTGAGTTAACTCTTTGTCCTCTCATTTTCCCCAATGCCAGAGAGAAGGAAAAGAATAAGCTGCATACTTATGACTAGTATACTTCATGTACCTTTCCTAAAAAGTGCAACATATTTTGTTAAATTCATATCAGAGCTTGGAAGAGTTATTTTAATGGACTTCCCTTTCCCCCCCCTCAAGACCACCACCATTACAGGAACTATGACGGCAGTGGAATTGTGGGGGTTGTAGTTTTTTTTAAAGTAACTTTTCCAAGCTCTGGGGACTTTCCTTTCCCCCCCCCAAGACCACCACCATTATAGGAACTATGACGGCAGTAGAATTGTGGGGGTTGTAGTTTGTTTTTTTTAAGTACTGTAACTTTTCCAAGCTCTGGACTACATAATAACGTGGCTTTTGATGTAGCTGTCCTAAATAAGCTGATGTGGGTTTTTTTCTGAGAAAAACAAGGCCATTGATATTTTTTGTATTCCCTGTCTTTGTGCTACCCTCAATGTGAACAGATGACTATGGAGATCAGTGGTATCCCACTGGAGTTATGGCGCCTGATCTTGTCCTACTTGCGCCTTCCGGACCTCGGCCGATGCAGCTTGGTGTGCAGAGCTTGGTACGAGCTGATCCTTAGCCTGGATAACACTCGGTGGCGTCAGCTGTGCCTTGGCTGTGTGGAGTGCCGACATCCAAACTGGCCCAACCAGCCTGATGTGGAACCTTGGTCGTGGAGAGAGGCCTTCAAGCAACATTATCTTGCCTCAAAAACCTGGACCAAAAACAGTCAAGACCTTGAGTCCTCCAACTGCTTCTACTTGTTCAGGAGGAAAAAGGACAGGCGCACCCTTTGCGTTGGGCCCGGTTGCGAGTTTGACAATCTGCGAAGTGCTTTACTCTCAGCGAACGTTTATGATAGAATTGTACTCTTACCAGGAATTTATGAGGAACAGAGTGAGATCTTCCTAAAGGCCCCTGTGGAAATTATGGGTAAGGGGAAGCTCGGTGAGGTGGCTCTCCTGGTGAGCTTTGATCAACACTGTCCAACAATGAGGTTATGCAATTTGGTTTTCATGCCAGCCTGGTTCACGCCTGTTGTCTATAAGGTGAGTGTGAACGTATTTGAGAATTGAGGTTGGGCGACACATCCTGAATGCAGTTAAGAGTAGTAAACTGAGAGAGGGGTAGATCTGAACCAAATGGGGCAGTCCAGTTGGAATCCAGGGCAGCCTTCCCTGCTCCGATGACTGGACTACATTTCTGATTCACCCAAGTGGTTGCTGGCTGCAGATGATCTGGTCCTACCTGACTTGGAGGGCAGCAGGTTAAAGAAGGCTGCTCAGTGGAACCAAACGAGAGCTGCTCCAGAATGCAGTGCCTTCCATTTTAGGAACAGAAGATGTCAAGGGGTGGCCCTCGTGCAGGATTGGCTCCTAGCCAGTGGTGGGATTCAAATAAATTAACAACAGATTCTATGTCCTAATGATAAACAAACAAACAAACAAACAAACAAACAAACAAAATGCAGTTAAGAATAGTAAACTGAGAGGGGGGTAGATCTGAACCAAATGGGGCAGTCCAGTTGGAATCCAGGGCAGCCTTCCCTGCTCCGATGACTGGACTACATTTCTGATTCACCCAAGTGGTTGCTGGCTGCAGATGATCTGGTCCTACCTGACTTGGAGGGCAGCAGGTTAAAGAAGGCTGCTCAGTGGAACCAAACGAGAGCTGCTCCAGAATGCAGTGCCTTCCATTTTAGGAATAGAAGATGTCAAGGGGTGGCCCTTGTGCAAGATTGGCTCCTAGCTGTAGTTTATAAGAAACATAGGTCGGAGTCATGGCTTCCCCACCTGTCCCCAGCTGTAGTTTAGAAGAAACATATAAGTCGGAGTCATGGCTTCCCCACCTGTCCCCAACATAGGACAAAGACAAATGAATTGGGAGTATGTGTGTCTTGTTTAAGTTGTGGACTCTGGGGAGTCTCTTTGAGGAAAGAGGCTTCATTATGATTTCTGAAAGGTTTGCTGTGGCAATATGGGGTGACCTTGTTGTATTCTTTCCCCTTAGACAACCTCAGGTCATGTCCAGTTTGACAACTGCAACTTTGAGAACTGTCAGCTGCAGATTCATGCCCCAGGAACCTGCCAAATCAAATTCTGCACCTTCAACCAGTCGAGTGTCAATTTCCATAGCGTTGCTGTCTGTCTCCTGGAGAACTGCGAGTTTGTTGGGAGTGAAAACGCCTCAGTGACCGTTGAAGGTTGTCCATCTTTGGACAGGAACTGGGCCTGCAAGCACTTGACCACGTTAGCCAAGTCACGGTCGGTTCTGCTGCAAACCGCAGAGCTTCCACAGCTGTGCAGTGTGTCAAAATTTGAGAGCCAGGGACACGTGCAGGTGAGGAACACAAGGACCTGTGAAATGGTGGTCAGTGGTGACCCCAGTAATGTATTTCCTGACTTACACACTCAAGGAATGCCAAAGAAAGGCTGTGAAAAGGAGAACGACATTTCTGGGAACTTTACCATGGCAGACAAAGAGGAGGCTGTGACCGTGGCCACAGATTCTAGCGAGAGCGAACTGAGCTTGAGCAGTGACAATGAGGATGATGACGAGTCCATCTACAAGCTGCCCTATCAGGCCCATAGACTGAGCCATATGTTGGCCAAAGTGATTGATGGCAAGCCGCAAGCCAGCGGGCTGGCAGCCCTCCAGAATGATTACGAGCTGAAAACTCTGCCTCAGGAGTTGCAGAAAGACAAGGAGGCCCAGTCGCTTGCCAATGCCATGCAAGGGTGCCTCATTCGCAAGTGCCTTTTCAGGGATGGAAAGGGTGGCATCTTTGTTTGCTCCCAGGGGCAAGCCAGAGTGGAAGGGAGCATTTTTCGGTACTTGACCTATGCCATGCGATGTGCAGAAAACAGTAAGGTGCTGTAAAAGACGGGGTGGGGTGGGGGTTGGATCTTGCATGTTGTGCTTAACCTGCTCTCTTGTTCTGCTCAGTTCTATCTTTTTAAAGTTGACATCAATGCGAATGTTTATGTTAACCTTCAAAATAGAGCAGTTGGTGATATGATGGCCACCATATGTTGGAGCTCTTTCATAAAGGCCACCACACAAATGTAATTTTATCCAATCTTGAGGGTAGCGATTGTCTGAATGATTGCAAAAGCACAGAATCTGTGGACAAAGGCAGTCCGTGAGGCCTTTCTTGGTTGCTGTTTCTGTTGGGAAAAAAAAAGAATGTGAAAGTCTGGTCAGGACAGGTTTGGAAGGAGTTGAGAATAGTATACAAATAGTACTGTAAGATTTATAGCATGATTTAACCATTTTTGGTCACCTCTTAAAGGTTATGTGTATTTTCCCAGTGATCGGGTATGGTAAACTTGATGCCAGTTACTTGCTTAGCAACCTTCTCTGGCCTTTTAAACATGAAGCCTTTGTGCCTGACTGTTTGCCTGGGGATCTGGGAAAAGCTTGAGATTCTAAATATTGAAAATATATGGTCCTGAACTGAAACAAAATGGCCAAATCGTGGGGTGGAGTTGGGGTGTTCTGGAAAACCTTGAAAATGTTACCTTTTGTGCTACAACTGCTACAGTTCCCTTGCCAGGATACTTAGGGGCTATAATTGCTCAGGAATTCTGGGAGTTGTGGTCCATAAATGTAACATTTTCAAGTTCTGGCATGTGCATAGGTAGAGAACATGTCTTGACCACATGGATTGTTTCTCCTGTACATTAGGCAACACAGGAGGAGAGTAGGAACGCCCCACTGTATACAGGTATTAGAAAGGGGAACATGTCTGCAGATTGCCTGGTGGGGCCAAATGCTTCTTTCATCTTGGAAATGTGTTTGTTTCTTGGCAGTCCTGGTGGAGAAAAGGGCAGAAGCTGGACAGGGGGATAACATTCTTCTGTGGGCGGCTGTTCATTCTTCAAAGGCAGTTTAGCTTCCGAGTGAAATATGGTGTGCCATTTGTAACATTGCTTTTCTTCCCCTGGTGAAATGCCTTATGATTACACCTTTTTCACAGACACCTTCTGCTTTGCTTTCCAAGTCGATAATTTTCTGTTCACCCGTAGACAAGAAGAGGAAGGGGGAAAGGAGAGGGAGAGCTTGTTTCTTGACTTTTAAATAAGTGCTTTGACCTCAAATGGAAGCTTCATTTATAGGAACAAACTGGACATTTTTAAAAATGAAGAGCCAGTTTGTTTCATCCTGGTTCACTGCATTCACACAACTTGGAAGGTGAAATATGTGTTTCATTAATTCTCAGAACCATCTATGACAGATGATCTTAGTTGATCCCCAATTTTAGTTGGGGAGCTGAGGCTGAAAGGGAGATTGGTGCCTAGATGCAATGTAGGAAAGGCCTCCGGTGTTACTAATGTAAGAGTTTAGGGAGGAGAAGAACTGACTTCAGTTCTGAATGGTCTATGTATCATTCCTTCCTTCCTTCCTTCTTCCCTTCCTTCCTTCCTTCCTTCCTTCCTCCTTCCTTCCCACCCACCTACCCACCCACCCACCTACCTACCTACCTACCTACCTACACTACCTACCTAGACATAGCCGTTGAATTTACCTCACAAAAATCTGAATATCTCTACCTACCTACCTACCTACCTACCTACCTACCTACCTAGACATAGCTGGTCTGCTTGTTGAATTTACCTCACAAAAATCTGAATATCTCAAGTGTAATTGGTATGAGGTGTTTAGCAATTCTGCATACATTCTTCTGGCTGCTAACAGGTGCCACGATCAATCTGAAACACCCCCATCCCAACAACTTTTAGCTAGCAGATGCTACTTGGATTTAAAGTGGGGGAGAGCAAAACCCCAGAATTGCAAACATATTCGTACTTTGGCTGTAAGTCAAAGCTTTCTGTTGCAGTGTGTGCATCAATAAACTGTGAAGTGGTAGGAATGCCTGAAGGTGAGGAAGACTAGCTCTAAGAACCATGCTGTAATGACTGGTGAAATGCAGCAGTTCACTTGTTTTTATTTTTGCATCTGAATGCAGCTTTAGTTTTAACCAAGGTGATGCTGAAATTACATTTTGAAGGTTGGCAAAGGCTGTTTGAAGACTTATTTTGTGCACACATAGACATACGAATGATATACAACACAGCTTGGAAATAGTTTGATTTGGCACATTAACATTAAAATGGTTACTTATGCATTAGCAGGAGATCAAGCCAATTGATGGATCTAAAATAATGTCTAAATGCACCATTTAAATATTTATAAAGATTGAAACATTCCTTCTGTGTAATGCAAAAGTGCCTGTTTTAACTTTTGACATGTTATTTCAAAACTCTGAATTAAATAAACACATATTCACACTCACCCTCTTTGTAAGTCTAAAAGTACGTTTTGCTTCATGTTGAAGATGTAAGTTTGGTTTGAGGAACTCTTTTTCTGAATATACCCTTTTTAGAGGCAATATCACTTTACATTTTCTTTTTTAAGTTTTTGAATTTTAGGGTAAAGTTAGAGGGAAAGCCAGGCTAACAGGAGATGGAGGGGAGAGGTCTTCATTTCTTTTATTCTGTTCATTACATTTTTTAATCTTGAGTTTCAGCTAAGGATGGTCCATTCCATTCTATATTCCTACCTCCTCCTTGTATTTACACAATAGCCCTGTGATCTCAGTAGCTTAGTCTGAGCAAAGGTAATATTACATTATAGCAGTGGATCCCATCTCTGGGTCCCCAGATGTTCTTGGGCTACAACTCCCAGAAGCCTTCACTACTAGCTGTGCTGGTCAGGATTTCTGGGAGTTGTAGTCCAAGAACATCTGGGAACCCAAGATTGGGAACCACGGCACTAACCTGTCCTCAAACCCTCCATCCTACCATGTTGACGTGCCACTCTTGAAATGCCAGCTTAATAAATCAGAGGGGTTTGTGTGTTTGTGTGTGTGTGTGTGTGTGTGTGTGTGTGAGAGAGAGAGAGAGAGAGAGAGAGAGAGAGAGGGGGGGAGAAAAAG